ACTTGCATTTTCCTAATAGCTAGTGCTGTTGAGTATCTTTTTATATGTTGATTGGCCATTTGTATGTCTTCTTGGGAGAAGTACCTGTTCAGGTCCTTTGCCTATTTTTTAATTGTATTTTTTTGAGTTTTATGAATTCTTTTTATATTTTGAATATAGCCCCTTATCGGATTTTTTTTCACAAGTATCTTCATTCATTAACTTAGTTTCCTTTGGTTTATTGATGGCTTCATTTGAAGTGCAGAATCTTTTATTTTGATAGAGTTCCATTCATTTATTTTAGCTTTACTCCCTTTGCCTTAGAGGTCAAATTCATAAAATCCTCTCCAAATCAAAGACCCATGTGTTTAAAGCTATGTTTGTTTTCTATACAATTTATTGTTTCAGGTCTTATGTTTAGGTCTTTGATCCATTTTTGGTTCATTTTGGTATATGTTGACAGATAGCAGTCTGGTTTCATTCTTTAGCATGTGGCTTTCCAACATTTCCAACACCATTTACTGGAGAAGCTTTCTTTTCTCCATTGTATGTATATAGCTCCTTTGTCAAAAAGTATTTATCCATATACATGGGAGTTTATTTCTGGAATCTCAATTTTATTCCATTGGTCTGTTTTGATGATTGTTGCTTTGTAGTCTAATTTGAAGTTAGGCAGATTGATACCTCTGGTCTTGACCATTTTCTTCAAGGTGCTTTAGCTCTTCAGGGTCTTTTGTGATTCCATACAAATCCGATGCTTTATTGTTCTATTTCTTTCAAAAATGGCATTGGGATTTTGATGGGAATTGAAGTAAATATGTATATTGCTTTGGATAATAAGGTCATTTCAACTATGTTGATTCTGTCAATCTATGAACACAGTATATCTTTCTATTTCTTTGTGTCTTCTTCAATTTATTTGAAGAATGTCTTATAATCTTCAACATACACGTCTTTCACATGCTTCATTACATTTATTCCAAAGTATTTTATTCTTTTTGTTTACAATTGCAAAAGAAAATTTTTTTTCCATTTCTTTTTCTAATAATTCATTGTTAATGTATAAGAATGCTATGAATTTTTGTATGTCAATTTTGTATCCTGTAACTTGGCTATATTTGTTCATTGTTTCTAATAGTTTTTTTAGTAAAGTCGATAGTGTTTTCTATACAGAGAATCATGTCATCTGCAAAAATAGACAGTTTGACTTCTTCATTCCCATAGCGAATGCCTTTTATTTCTCTTGCCTGATTGCTCTAGCTAGGACTTCCAACACTATCTTGAATAATAGTGGTGCTAGCAGACAGACTCGTTAAATTCCTGATCTTAAAGGGAAGGCTTTTAGTTTTTCAAAATTTAGTATAATGTTAGCTGAAGTTATGACCTTTATTCTTTTGAGGTACTTTTCTTCTCTACCCATTTTATTAAGGTTTTAATCATAAATAAATGTATCTTGTCAAATACTTTTTCTGTATCTCTCGATATAATCATATGATTTTAATCCTTTATTTTATTTCTCTGGTGTGTCACATTGATCAATTTGTGACCCAGGGATGAAGCTCACTTTATTATTTATGATATATAAACTTTTAAACGTCTTATGCTATTTGATTTCTTAGTATTTTGTTTCTAATTTTTGCATCTGTATTCATCAGAGATACTGGTCTAGTTTTAGAGTGTGTGTGTGTGTGTGTGTGTGTGTGTGTGTGTGTGTGTGTTTTCTTTACCAGGTTTTGGTGTTATGGTAATGTTGGTCTCACAAAATGAGTTAGGAATTATTGCCTCTTTTTAATTTATTAAAGAAAAGGTATTAAAGAATCTTTGAATGGTAGAACTCACTGGTGAAACCATCTGGTCCTGGGCTTTTACTTTTGGGGGAGGTTTTGATGATTGCTTCAATTTCTGTACTGTTGATTGGACTACTCAGATTTTCCAGATCTTTGTGATTGTCTCGGAAGGCTGTATATTTCTAAGAACTTGTCCATTCTTCTAGGATATTGAATTTCATGGCATGTCATACTTCATAGGATTCTTGTATGACCATTTCTATATCAGTGGTATCTGTTGTAATGTCTCCACTTTTGTTTTGATTTTGTTAATTGTGTCCTTTCTCTTTTTGCTTTAGTGAGTCCACCAGGGTTTGTAAATTATTTTGATCTTTTCAAAGAACCAACTCTTTATTGCATTAATATTTTTTGTCTTTTTTTCTCACTTTCATTTAATTATCTAATATTTATTGTTTCCTTCCATCTGCCAACTTTGGGCTATATTTGTTCTTTTTGTTTGTTTATGTTTTTTAAAATGTAATGTTACGTTATTTAATTGGTATCTTTCTTCTATCTTGAGATATAAGCCTGTAATGATATGAATTTTTATCTCATTAGTGCTTTTGCTGAATCCAAAAGTATTGGTATGTTGTATTTTTCTTCTCATTTGTTTCTATATATCTCTTCAACTCTCTTTTTATTTCCCAGTCTTTCTATAGTAGCATGACCTGTTCTTAATATGGTTTGCAATTTCTTGTTTTGTCTGTCTGTAAGTCATCTTAATTAGAGTTCTGTGTGTTTTTGTTATTTTGTTTCAGGTAGATTGACTACCTTCAGTATTTCCTATAATGTATTCCTTGTGGTAGAAAATGTTCTTAGCTTCTGCATGTCTGGGAAGTTCTTTATTTCTCCTATAGATTTGAAGGATAACTTTATTGGATATATTATTCTTGGCTGGTAAAATCTCCCTATCAATATTGGAGAGGGCCTTTTTGAACTGACACAATTATGTGTTCTGTTATCTTCTTGGATTGAGGTCATTTCATAGATTTGGGAAGTTCTCATCAATCATTTGTTTGAAAAGGCTTTCAGTACCCTTCTCCCTCTCCTCCTTCTGGTATACTCATTATTCTTATACTGCTCTTTCTGTTTAGAATTAGGTAGTTCTGGTAGAGTTCTTTCAATTTTTTTTGCTTGCTTGTTTGTTTGTTTCAAGTCTCTCTCTTTTTCTATCTGTGTCACACTTCTAGATTTCTGTCTTTGATATCACTAATTCTTTCTTCTATCTGGTCATCTCTGTTTCTTAAACTCGCTATTTCATTTTTCATCCATTTTATTAAATTCTTTCGGTTTAGAATTTTTTTTTTTTTTGGTTCTTTTTTAGAGTCGAGTTTCAATCTGTTTGGTACAGTATTTATGTTGTTCATTGATTTTGATTTCAAGTTCATTGAACTGCCTATCAGAACTTTTTGAATCTCCTTGAGTTTTTTCAAAAGTGCAGTCTTGAATTCTCTGTCATTTAAACTACATATTTCTATATCTTTAAGTTTATTTTCTGGAGATTTTTAATTTTCTTTCTGAGCTGCCTTATCACCTTGGTGTTCATGATATTTGATGGAATTTTCAGCACCTAGGTATTTATGGGAATGTACTCTGCCTTTAAAAAATAATTATTATTATTTATAGTTAAATTATTATTTATAGTTAAATTATTATTATTTAATAAATAATTATTATTATTTATTAAAGACCCCTCTTTAGCAGATTGATAAGAAGAGGTTCTTCTTTTGTTTTCCAGTAGGCAGCACACACTTCTCCTGCACTGCACGGGCCTCTGGGGTCTCTGCTTTGTGGTAAACAAACAAACAAACAAGAGTCATTTATTCCCTGGGGAGGTGTGTGTCTCTTCCATGACCAGGTTGCCATGGTCCAGAAACTCTACCCCTGTGGGAGAATGTGATAGTGATGGGATCTGAGCATCTGAAGAGCCTGTGAAGTCACGGTACTGCTCAAGTTGCCGTATGCAGTGCTGTGCTATCTTCTCCGAAGCAGCTTGGATAGGTGGTGGTATGGGTTGAAAGAGGCTGCCTGGGTACTTATTGTTGTTCTCCTGACAATAATGCTGGCTTCCATGTTTCCGCTACCTTTCCTCTATATCTTCACTTCTGTCTCTAGGACCAGCTGCAGTGTGCATCTCAGTTCCCGGGGCTCCAGGATCCCTGCTCTGTATTCTAACACTTGAGGCAGCAAGTTTCCCCTGGCACTAGCTGCTAGCTCTGGGAGGGTCTGAGGAGGCAAGCTCCGAGAGGGTGGGGGAGCTCAGTGCTTAGCTTTCTGCCTGGTTGCTAAAATACAGCTGTCACTCCTCTGTATTCCATGTTGAACATGGATTCTGCCCTGGTTTAGGGGCTCTGCCACGTGGAATATGCTGATAACTCAGGTGGGAATGTTCGGGGCTACAGAAAGTGCGTATCACCTCCTAATTCCCTGACTCTCGTTGAGCCTGGTGGGAGCTCAGGGCTGTGACTACAGCACAGTCTTTGCTTCCCTCCCTTTCCTCCTCCCTTGTTCATCTGATTCACATATCTTCAGATGCTGTGATGTGCAGAGTTGTAAGACATCTTTGTGTGCTAGACTGGGTGTTTTTCCTTGGATTGTAGCTATTCAGTTTGTTATAATTTCAAGGGGAGAGATCAAAGAGACTCCTCATGCCATCATGTTTCTGATGTCAGAATACTTCCCCTATCTTTAATAATCAAAGACACCATAAACATAGACACACATGCACAAACACACACAGTCTGCTAATCAGAACATCCGGTTGGCTTAAGCTCGTCAATGTACCAACACTAAAAGGAAATAAAGTTAAAAAACTATTAACATGTTAGCAACTGAAGCTTTACTCTTGGTGAAGGTCAGAATTGAAATAAGCATTTTAAAACACTGGAAAAAACATAGAGTCTAATAATCAAACTCTGGGTATCCTTAATAAGTACAGGGACTACAAAATAAAAAAAAATTAAGTTATTGAAATGAAAGTAGAAATTTCAGAGTAAAAGTTATATTAAAACTTTTTTCTTCCATTTGTAAATATCTGTTCCTAAAAATACAAAAAAAAATTGACATCTTCATTATGTATGTCATATCCTCCTATTAATTGCTAAAAAAAAGGAAATTATAAATAAAAAGAATATGAGCATGTCATACATTGTTCTGTACTATTTTCCAGAGTTAAAATTGTTTTACAAAGTTTACCTGATCTGGATGTTTGTGTAGCCTTCATTTCTACTGCTTTGTTAGGAACAGGATCTTTCACTTCAACGATAGGCTGAATGGGTTTTGAAAAAAAGATGATTAAAAAATAATGTACATTTCATACTTAATGATTCGAGATTAAAAAATATAAATGTTATTACCTTCAACTGAAGATATTTTCCAGGAGAATCTAAAAAGCAAAGGGGCATATGCTTGATTACATGTAAATATGAAAAACAACTATATATTCAACTAGTGATGGTAAGGAGCTGAAACTTTATGTCCTAGTGTTTTCTTTTTTGAGAGGCGAGAGTGTTAGGACAACAAGATCGAAATCCACTATAAATACTAAAGAAATAACAGAAATATCGGTTTGACAAAACATAGCATTGAGATTTGAAAACATTTTGTTTCAAATGACTATAACTAAACTAGAAAAGTGTGCATATACCAATGTCGACATGCTGATCAATGGGGAAAACAGTGATCAGTCATCAGAGGAACAAATCATGTCCTTGATAGGATCAATGGAAGAGTTAATGAAAATGCAACATCATACTTAATGCAATACATCAGAATCATTTTATACTATTATGCTCAAATATTTATTATGGTCTTTATTTTGTCCTGTAATTTAGTGAGTACATGGGTATAATAAAAATTTAGTTGAATGCATAATTCATATCAATAGAGTAGGTGTTTTGATTTACTCAGCTTGAATATACATTTGTAAAATAATAGTTACTTATAAGAGTGGTTTATGGGGGTCAGTGAAAAAGGTGGAAGGGATTAAAAAGTACAAATCGGTAGTTACAAAAGTCATATAGATGTAAGTATAGCATAAGGAATACAGTCAATAATATTTGATAACTATGTATGGTGTCCTAGATTTATTGGAGTGATCACCTCATGACTTATATAGATGTCTAATCACTATATTGTATACCTGAAACTAATATAATATTCTATGCCAGCTGTAATTTAAAAATAAAAAATATTATTAAAAATCTTTTATGTTTCAAAATCACTATAATATATACTGAAAATAACAATTTTAGCTCTAAGGAAATGAACTACGTAATTTCTTTTGTTTTTAAAATTAGTTGGGCTTGATATATCATGTTAGGCTTTAAAGGATTAAAGGATTTTTATAAACTGCCTATTTTGTCAAAAAATTAGCTACCTTAAAAAAACAGCCAGTGATTCTATATTCAAATTAATCTAATTTGAGTAACATATAGCAATTTAACTCATGTCTTTGGGGGTTAAATAACTGTAAGCTGTAAACTCCCTCAGTATTTTCTAACCTAATGTTCTCATGAGGAGGATAAGTGAGTGGCTACAGTTTACCCCAGTTCTCACACTCCCTACTGTTTTAAGTATTCTCTAAAGCATTAATGATCTCATCTTCTGTTTCAGTGCAAATATATAAGGCAACTAAAGTGAAGTCTCTCAAAATTGCTCATCGACTCCAAAATTACCTAGCTAACACTTTTCTTTCTTCCTCCATTCTGTTCACTATCCTTCATCCTCTTCAAAATTTCTAGGCCTGTGGTCTTGATTCTCTTTTCCATTTTTTTTTGTGGGTTTTCTCCATGATTTTTCTTCACTCTCTGTAAGCTATAGTATCTTACTTCTATGTTTTCTATTGCTTCATCTCCTTTCTTCCCATTGGCTATAAACATGCTCAGAACTATACCAAAATAATGCTGTTCCTTGATCCTTTCAAACCTTGAACTAGCCAATGGTCTTTCATGCAGATTTCTCTACTCAGAGCATGATCTGAGGACCAGAAATACTGGGGTCACCTGAGAGCTTGTGAGGAATGCAGAATACCAAACCTGCTATTATCACTTCTTTAAAATTAAAACTGCATTGGAAGTCAAAACTTTCTAATGAACTTTTTATTAAGTTATAGCTTCCCTGATCTCCCCATAACCTACCCTGCTCTCTCCTGTTTTCTGCTGCTCTTCTTTTGCCTATATAATACTCTCCTATAATATAGCCACATTTTACATAACATATATTTATAGTTGCCCACATATACATGTGTGCATGCAAGGTAGATAAAAAGAGCTCTACATAATCAGGTATCTCAATTCCTAATGCCTTTCCACCAGGGGCAAAAAAAAAAAAAAAATAAGAATGGGGATATTTTGCTGTACTTCTCTGATAAGTCTTGGTACTGGAAACTCACTTTATATTCTCTCATTTTAAATTATCTGCTCTTCCTTTTTCAAAAGAATCATTGTACCACTTTCTACTATATATATATATATATATCTGCTCCTTTTTCCTTCCTTTACTCCTCTCAAATTTCCACCTTTCTCATTCTTCATTCCATCTTTAATTATTTTCTTCTTTTCTATTTTCTGACTTTAATTATGTCTTAGAGTATCTTGCAAAGAAACAAATAATTTAGCTTCTATAGTGGCTTTTTCAAATTAATCTGTTGCTGATACCTGATAAGACATATAATTGATCTCTTTTTCACTTCATTTTTTTCTTTACAATGAATATAATAGGTGATTTTTGCTCACTGTTAGACTTTATCAGACATCATATTTTAAATCAACATCTGTCAAATGATTTTTTACAAAATGCAGTCTTACCTTCTACTTGTTCATTCAGTATGTTTTTTCCTCTTTGATCTGCAGCTCCAGAGAAGTAATCAACATACTTCTGTGGTAAACTTGCAGAAAAACTCTGTTAAAATTTATACCAATAATGAGATGCATGAAGATGTTCTAATCTTTTTATCGGAAAATATCTGAATTTCCTACATTAAAAGCCATTAGATTTAAAAATAAGAGAAGCATATATTGAAAACCAGAACATTTCAATAGAAAAGTTCATATTATGCCCTCTAGATCAAGCCTGTTTTTTGTCTTCATTTGTATACTGACTGTAAATTATGAGTGGATGGCAAAGTAAATACTGATTTGTATGTACATTTCAACAAGAAACAATCTTCAAACACCTAACTCTACTTTGCATTCTTCACCAAGATTGTAGAACCTATTGTATTTGAGTAAACAAGGACTTGGGAAAAGCTAATTATTATTTTAAAAATGTTTGATGAGCTAAGTAGTTGAATTAAATGGCAAAGCTGTAAGTAAAACCTTTCTTGAAATTATGTTAAATAATAGCGAAAAGTTTACATAGTTTTGCAACACTTCTAAAAAGTTTAGTAAGCTTTAATAAGGGAAGAATAGCACCATTTATTTAACAATCTAAAGTGTGCCAGGCACAGATTATGCACTTTTATTTCTTTTTTATACACAATAACAATAATACAAATGGTGTGATGGTGGTTACCCCATTTCCTGCTTCTTAGTCATTCCAAGATACTAGGTTAAAATAAGGAAAAAACATGATCATTGTTCTCTCTGTCCAGAATGTCCCTCTTGCAGACATTGACATGACTGGCTCCTCATACGTCACTTGGCAGATTTGGTCACAGTCATTAAGATCATTTCTTACCACCTCAGTACCATTCCCAGTCCCATTCTAATTCCCATCCTAATATTCTCTAATATAACATTCTCTATTTTCTTTATAGGAAGAGCATATAATGACTTATAATGGATTGTTCTTTACTTGATTTTCACCTCCTACCACTATAGCCTAACCAATCAACTACAGATTCAGTATCTAACTGCCCAGCACATAGCGGGTATTCAATAACAGAAATTTACTTCGGGTTAAAACATTTAAAATCTTATCAAGAAAGCCTCAAGTTCTAAAGGACTACATGCCCATGGGATATATCCATAACTGTCTACTGAAATTTAACATCCCCCAAATTAGAAATCCACATGCTTGTTCTAACTTTCCCAATCTTTTCTTGACACTACTGCCATTTTATTTCTTTCAGGTACACAAAAATGTTCTGGATAGTCAGTAAATCACTAAATACACTGTGATCACTGTATCTTCCATTTCCACAGCACCCTTTACCATTTACAAATTGCTTTTACATTGTTACAATATTTATTCACTACACCTACCCGAAAGGTAGAAATTAGTATCCTAATATGAATGAGGTCACTGACATTGCAACAAATTAAAAATAATTTTCCCAACATCTCATAGCTAGGAAGTCACCGATCCAGGATACTAGCATGTTCTTAGACTTCAAAGGCAGTGTTTGTACCATTAGGTAGCAGATGCTTATAATTAAGAGATTACGCTATACCTGTCACCTTAGATTAGCTCATCATAACCTTACACTTATATTACAAATATGGTTGCCATAAGGGTACTCAGTGCATGCTATCTGAACTATCCAAAACCATGGTTACTTATCAAAACTTCACGAACCAAATTGTCGTTAGTATAGTCCCACATATCTATCACTATTCATCATGCTATTCCTTCTTTGGAAATATCCTTTGCAGATTTACTTGACAATCTAAATAAATAAAATTTCAATGTCCCAGGTATTGTATTTTCAAGTTCTACATTATAAATAATACTACAATTTAAGCTGTTTTTCTCTGAATCTAATTAGAAATTTAACATACTCATACATACCATAGAATCATACATGTGGTCATAGGTTGACCTGAAACAAGTTTTTAGTTTGTAGATAAACTTAACTGCAGAACCCAAACTGATTCCTTAAACTTCGAAGCCTCAGTTTCTTGTATAATAGTACACTGATTTCATTAAGGGAATCTTACAAATTAGCAGAATTGTACTATGCAGTATTAATATATTTAGCACATAGTTATTCTATTAATAGCTTAAAGAATATAGGAAAATAAGTTATATGAACAAACGCAGACATGAAAAAGTAAAGTCAAAGCATACTTTATATGTATTAATATCACTCAATGCTGATGTTTAAAATAATAATTAATAATAATAATAATAATAATAATAAAAGACACTACCTCAGGATCCAAAGGTGATTCTACGTCTTCCTCTTCTCTTAATCCTAATGCTGACATTTTAACTATAAAATGTAGTTACAGATACATTAATGTGAACACTTATTACTATGAATTTTAAATACATATATGTCTATTTCCATTCATTAATACTTTAATAAAATAAGAGTAATAACAAAATTTTCAGAGTGTTGAATTTATGCAAAAAGAAAAATTTGGTAGTAGTTGGGATAGTGGAAATGGATATCATATTTGCATCTAAACACTTCAGGTTTGTTTAGCCCAGCACGTAAACAGAGAAAAAAATATATAGATATTTGCTAAATTACCACTTATATTATTTTTACATGCTCCATCAACATAAGTCAAATTGTCCTTACTTGTTTGTTCTCGTGGAGCGCTGTCATTAATATCCATACTATTTTCTTTGTTTCCAACTGCTGGCTTTGTAGCTTCTTTCTATAGAAACAAAACAAAACAGAAACCCAACTTCAGATAACATCATATTCATTGACTTGCTCACTCACTCACTCATTCAATCAGGAAGACAACAAGCATTTACTATGTCTATCAAATCACAGGCATTATCCTGGGAGATTCTAGAAATATAAATAAAAGATTTTGTCCTATATTATGGTAGGGGTAGAGATACATGAAAACAGTAAGAATAGAAAAGTACATTTGCTACTTCTATAACTGAAGTGAATAAAGTGCAGTAGGGCACAAAAGAGAAATCAGTCATTTGTACCTGGGAAGCTCAGGAAATGCTGCAAAGTTTGTGTTGTGAAAGATAAATGCAGAGAGAGGGCATAAAGGGCATGAAAGGGAAGCATGAGCACAACAAGAAGTATAAGACAACACAGCAAGTGAGGGCACTAAAGTAATGTGGTAAAATTGGAACACTGGGAATGGGATGGAAAGAGGAAACTGGAGAATCAGAGCCACAGCAAGCAAGGCAAGTGTCATGCTGGCATATAAGTTTCACCCTTACTTGATGGGGATAAGATAAGTTATATTATTACAAACATATTTTAAAACAGTCACTCTGGCTATAATGTAAACCTGAACATAAGGAGAGCAAACCTTGAAGAAATTGTTTCAAAATTGAAAGTGAGAAAGAGAATTACAAGATGTAAGCAGGTAGAATATATTAACTTGGTGACTGACTGAATATGGTAATTTGAGGAAAGGTTGAAGTCCAGGATCTTTCATACCTTAGTATTTCAGCGGTGGATTTACTAAGATGGGGAAAACAGATGACAGAGGAGATTACAGGAGTTAGCAAAATGGAAAGTGCCAGGGGCAACGTCTTCAATTTAGGACATATCAAATTGGAAGCACTCAGGGGACTTAGAAGAAAGTTCTGGATAAACACATTTGGAGTAGGACTAGGTGACCTTACTCAGGAAAAGCATAGGATGTTAAGAAGATAGATATTTGTAACATATACTAAACTGATACAATTAAGCAATGCAAACCTACACAGAACTTGTGAAATATTGAAAATGAAAGTAAGAGCAGGGGAATATAAACATGAAATTCAATTTTTCAAAAATATATTCCAAATTCTGTTTCAGCAATATAAAAAACTCTTTTATGGATGTATGCAAATGCTTATTTCTGGGATATTATAGTAAGAAGCATTTTTAAAAAATATTTTCTTTTTTAGTCAAGGCAACCCTTGGTTGACCTCACGGATTGCAAGGAACTTGTCAGTTTACAATCCCTTTTTTTATTTTTATTTTTTATGCCTACAGCACCTGGTCTTCCTAGGTGGTCTCCCATCCAAGTACTAACCAGGTCCGACCCTGCTTAGCTTCTGAGATCAGACTTTACTGGGCTTGTTTGGGGTAACATGGTCATAGATTCAAGAAGCATTTTAAGCTTAATGAAAAACATTAGTTGTCAAACATCATTTCACAATGTTACAAGATGATTCTTCATTAAAAATTAATGTTAAAGGCCAGGTGTTAAATTCTAGAAGAGGAATGCTAAGAGAATTATGAGACATTTTTAAATACTACTATGATTTATAAAGAAATATAGATCCCTATTTAAAAATTCACGTGGTTTCTCACTCCCTTGTGAACAGCACACTAATAGCTCTAATTTCCCATATGTTCTATTTAACATGGTAGATAAAGATTGCAGAAAAACATCTACTATTGAAAACCTAGTAAAACTATACTTATCTCAGTTGAAGATTTAAAACTCTTCCAATAGATCTAAGATTATCAAACTAGGCTGAGTGAAGAAAGGGACTAAAAATTCATGTGACCAGGATGTCTGAGTTCTAGATATGAGAGGGTTTTCAGGTTAGGTTTAACAACCATGAATACCAAAGTTAATAAAATTTCTCAAGAGTAATATGAAATGTATAAGTTCACGAATCATAAAATTAACCATTTTAAAGTGAAATCTTCAGTATTATTTAGTATATCCACAATGTTGTGTAACCATTTCCTCTAATTCCAAAAATACTGGTTGCCCCAAAAGAAACCCCATTGCCATTAAACTGTCACACCTTATTCCCTCAGCCATCAGCCCCAGGCAACCACTAATCTACTCTTTGTCTTTATGGGTTAATATATCCTGCACATTTTATATAAAAGGAGTCACACAATAGCAAGTTTTTAAAAGAATCTCTACAGAAAAAAAATAATTTCTGGGCTTTTTTTATGTTACAGCTTAAAATTTATATTTTCATTTAATGAATACAGATCAAGAACCTCACATATATTATCAGACATATTCATTATAAATGATGAAAAATCTAAATAAAATCCTTATTTATTTCCTGTCTTTATCTCAAAAAAACCTAAAATACGTACTAAGATGAAACCAAATAGTAATATAAGTTAATTGAGCAAATTAAGTATATATCAAAAAGATAAGTTAGAAATCACAATCAAAAGAATAAAAAATTCATAATTCATAATCCAATAAAGCCTAATCATATTTCAGTTTCCATTACTATAAACATAAGATTTGCTAGCTTAAATATAAAATATCACTGTATTAAAAGTGAAGTTAAAAAAGAGATAAAATGAAAAGTGATATATATATATATATATAAAGGAAGAATTATATTTCCCTTTAGTTCATAAAAATAAGCTTTAAGTAATTCGGAAAATCTGAACATTTTTTTCTTTTACCTGGCTTTCTTAACTTATTTTGCATTTAAAATAATTTTTAGCATATTTCATAATAGAGTTCCTGCTGTCACTTAACTGCCCTATTTCTGTTGTGTCTTTATAATAATCTCCTCATTTTGACTCTGTTATTAAATCTTGATGTTTATTTAGTCCTTCTTAAATGAATTTTTCTTTTACCTCCTCCTTGTCTTCACATTCATCTAGCTATTCTTTCTAGTTGCTTTCTAATTCTCTCCTTCCATAATGGCAGACCTAAGAATTGTTTACTACCACTAATCTTTACAAAAACCAATCCTGAATATAAATCTCTCTTTTTATCATATTTGTTTTCTATTGTCATCTTGAGGACTCCCATTTCTTTCTAGAATCCTTTTTATTACTACAAGGATCAGATATGTGAAAAAGCATGGGAAAAAATAAAAAACAAAACAAAACAAAAAACTTACCTTTGTAATACTAACAATTGCTGAAGACACGAGTGAAGGTTTGAGAAGAGGTTCAGGTGTTGGCAAATCAGGATGAGACCAGCCCTGGACAGCAGTTGATGGCTTGGGAAGGGTTTCAACTATGGGTTCATTTACATTGTGAGCTTTATTGTCCTCATAGAAGGTCCCAGTTTCTGGTCTCACGATGGCATATTTTTTTTCTATTGCAGTAAAAACAAAGTAAAGAATACATAAATATATCTGTAACTTCAAATCAAGGAGTGACTCAAGAGCAGATAATCAACAAATAACTTACTGTTTTGCTGGGATTGCAGAAAAGCAGTCCTTAACTTTGCTAAGCTTGGTTTCATGACATTCTAGAAAAAATTCACAGCATTAAGCATTAACTTTGATAACAATAATGATAATATTCATCATTAGTATATGATCTCACACCAAGAACACAGGCTTTGGAATCATTTAAATATTGATTCATATCCTAGTTCTGCCACATACTAACATATATCTTCTCATAAGGTGAGTATTATGAGAGAGGACATGGTAAGCTTAAAAATATTACTTTTATGATCCCTAAATGATTATTTTTTAAATACTCTGATAATCATTAGATCATTATAAATTTACCCCTGGGTTGTTTAGAGTACTACTAAAAAAACAACATTAAGAAATTTAAATTAATTTTTTGCTATATTTTGAAATGTATTTGCATAAGTTATATTTCCATGAATTATTTCCTTTTGGAGAAAATCTCAGAGTTTGGTAGAATCTTATGACAGTGGTTTGGAACTGCAAACTTTCTGTCAAACAGCTAAAAACAAATGATTGTTTATATTCAGTTCCTTCCAAAAAAGAGAGAAAAAAGAGTAGAAACTTGTGGAGCAAAAATTCATGAATAAAAGCCATGTGCATACTGAACAGAAAATCATGAACACACATATGTTGACAATGTTGTAAGAGAGAGATAGACCAAAAAAACACCCACTGAAGAAATGTATTCTGTAAAAAAAAATAATTGGTTAGAAATAAATAAAAAAATAAAAAGTTGAGGTGATGTCAGAAACATGGCCGAGTGAGAGACGTCCCAAGATCTCTCCCTTTGAAACAACAATAAGCTGAACATCTAAAACTCAACTAAAAACACCCAACTTGTCCACAAGCACATCTCAGCGTGGGATCTGCACATAAAAACTACCACAGGGAGAACCCTGGGAGTCGAGCAGTAGACTGGGAGCAACAAAAAAGCTGACTCTCACAGCCAGAGATCCCTACAGGAGGAAGGGGAGTAGAGAAGTTGCACTGGATTCCCTAAACAACCCTGTCTGAGAGAGCTGTGAGCTCCACACAGAGGCAGTGCCCAGAGATGACAGCAGAAAGTAGAGACGTGGGGACAGCATAGAAGCCACAGTGATTATTACCAGTTACAGTGGCAAAACACGAGGCTGAGACACAGTGCTCAGTATCAATTAAGAGGGCCCCCCCATACCCTCCAAAACTGAACACAATGGAGCCCCTGGGGAATCTAGCAAACACTACTAAAACTGTAACTAACACTGACAGGGACTGAAACTGAGGGTAGCAAGTGTGATTGAATGTCTATACGCAAAAAAGAGACATTATTAAGACTTTATATAAAGCACGGATCCAAGAAGCTTAGATGACACCAACTGGAAAGCAAAAGGAAAACACCTTCTTTGCAACAGGCTAAAGAGAGACCTTTATATAATAAATCTTCTTACTGGTAAAAATGCAGAATACACCTCCATTAATGCCCAAGTGGAGAAATAGTCCATTAAACACCATGAACAACCAAGGTGACAAGGCAGCTCGGAAAGAAAGAGAAAAATCTCCAGAAAATAAGCTTAAAGACAGAAATATGCAACTTAAATGACAGAGAATTCAGGACGATACTTCTGAAAAAACTCAGTGAGTTCCAAAAGGCATTATATCAACAATTTCTAGAATTGAAAAGGCAACTAAATGAGCAGAATGAGTTCTTCAGAAAGGAGATTGAAACCCTCAAAAAGAACCAAATAGAAATTCTGGAGATGAAGAACACACTGAAAGAGATGAAAAATGAAATAGCAAGTTTGGGAAATAGAGTTGACCAAATGGAGGAAAGGATTAGTTATATCGAAGACAAAAAAAAACTAGAAATAAATCAGAAGGGAGAGAAACCAAAATATGAAAAATAATGAAAGAAAAATACAAGAAATAGCTGATAACATCAGAAGAGAAAAAATAAGAATAATGGGCATTTTTGAAAGGGAGGAAAAAGAGCAGGGATAAGAAAACATTTTCAGACAAATAGTTGATGAGAGTTTCCCAAATCTAAGGAATGAACTGGAGCTTGGAATTCAAGAAGTCAATAGAACACCCAATTATCTCAATCCAAAAAGGCCTCTCCAAGACACATTGTATTAAAATGATCAAAAATCAGGACAAGGAAAGAATTCACAAGGCAGCCAGGGAAAAGAAAAAAGTAAACTATAAAGGAAAACCCATTAGATTATCATCGGACTTCTCACACAAACCTTACAAACTGCAAAGAAGTGGAATTAAATATTCAAACTATTAAATGAAAAGAACTACCAGCCAAGAATAATGTATCCAGCTAAGCTCTCCTTTAGATATGAAGGAGAAATAAAGACATTCCCAGACATACAAAAATTGAAGGAATTCTCCACTACGAGCCTGAATTACAGGAAATACTGAAAGGAGTTAGCTCACCTAAAACAAAGTGACAAAAAAATAAAAAATACATAACTAGGAGTAAGGCAACTAGAAGGCTGACAGAAGCAGAAGAGTGCAACCCTTACTAAGAACAGGGCATTATAAGCTTAAACAATAAGAAGAAATTTGTTATAGCAAGATAGTAATAAATGTTCAGCATATATAGGGACAAACTGAGACAACAATGACCGAAAAGGTGAGGATTCAAAGATCCAAATTCCCAAAAGGGAATGGAGATCAGGCACCTGCAGGAGAAAATGGACTACTATATATACAACTTATCCTCTACATATTCATAATGTTAACCACACAACAAAGATTCAGAACTGAAGTATATAACATGAAACAAGAAGGACCAGAGGGAAAATCCACAAAGCCCAACCAAAAAAAAAAAAAAGAAAAAGATATACAATGACAAGGAAGCGATGGAAACACCAAGCACCAAGCTACCAGAAAGCAAAAGATAAAATGGTTATAGGAAAATCTCATGTTTCAATAATCACCTTAAATGTAAATGGACTGAACTCAACAATAAAAAGGCACAGAGCTGCAGATTGGATCAAAAAATAAAACCCAACCATATGCTGCCTCCAGGAGACACATCTCAGTTCCAAAGACAAATACAGGCTCAAAGTGAAAAGGTGGAAAAGATATTTCAAGTAAATGGCATTCATAGAAAAATGGAAATAATGGTACTAATATCGGATGAAATAGACTTCAAAATAGAAAAAGATAAAGAAAGATACTGAGGGACACTTCATAATGATAAAGAAAATCATGCACCAAGAAGACATAACACTTATTAATATCTATACTCCCAATCAAGGAGCAAAGAAATATGTAAAGCAATTACTAACAGAATTTCAGGCATCCACTGGGGGTCTTAAAACATCTCAAAAAAATAAGGGGGGGCTATTGTACTCCTAATGACATCATAGATGGTGATTGTATTTTAGACGCAAATATGGAAGAACTCACAAATATGTGGAGATTAAACAACATGCTACTAAAGAATGATTGCATCAGAGAAGAAATAAAGAGAGTTCAAGAGATATACAATATATCAAAACTTTTGAGACATGGCAAAAGTGGTCATAAGAGAAAGTTCATATCATTACAGGCCTATCTCCAAAAACGAGAACGAGCCCAAATAAACAACTTAATGCTTCATCTTAAAAAACTAGAAGAGGAAGAACAAATGAAGCCTAAAGTCAGAAGAAGGAAATAAATATTCAAATTAGAGTAGAAATAAATGTGAATTCAATATGGCATTGGAGGTCCTAGCGAGTGCAATCAAGCAACAGAAAGATGTAAAAGATATCCAAATAGAAAATGAAGAAGTCAAACTGTCACTATTTGCACATGACATGATTCTCTACATAGAAAACCCTAAAGACTCCACAAGAACACTGCTAGAAACAGTAAGCAAATATGGTCAAGTTTCTGGATACAAAATTAATGTTCAAAAATCCATAGTGTTCCTATACTCTAATAACGAAGTGTCAGAAAAAGAAGAGGAAAAAATAATTCCTTTTGCAATTGTGACAAAAAGAATAAAATACCTAGGAATAAATCTAACGAACCATGTGAAGGAACTATATAATGAAAACTACAAGACCCTATTAAAAGAAATTGAAGAAGATACAAAGAAATGAAAAGATATTCCATGTTCTTAGATTGGAAGAATCAACATAGTTAAAGTGACCATATTACCTAAAACATTATACAGATTTAATGCAATCCCCATCAAGATCCCATTGGCATTTTTTAAAGAAATAGAACAAAAAATCTTCAGATTCGTATAGAAACACAAAAAAAACCCGAATTGCCAAAGCCATCGTGAGAAAAAAGAACAAGCCTGGAGGCATCACTCTGCTCAACTTCAAATTATACTATAAAGCAACAATAATCATAAAGGCATGGTATTGGTAGAGAAATAGACACACCGATCTGTGGAACAGAATCAAGAGTCCAGAAATAAACCCATATTTATATGGACAAAGAATTATAAGAACAACAACAAAAAGCCAAAAACATGCAGTGGAGAAAGGAAAGCCTCTTCAATAAACAGTGCTGGGAAAACTGGAAAGCCACCTGCCAAAGAATGAAATTAGACTAATGTCTATAATCACACACCAAAATTAACTCAAAATGGATCAAGGACCTGAACGTAAGACCTGAAACTATAAATTTCATAGAAGAAAACATAAGAACTAAACTCATGTACCTCGGACTTTAAGAAGATTTTATGAATTTGACCTCAAAGGCAAGAAGAGTAACAGCAAAAATAAATGAACGGGACTATATCAAACTAAAAAGCTTCTGCACAGCAAAGAAATCATCAACAAGGTAAAGAGACAGCCATCTGAGTGGGAAAATACATTTGCAAGCAACACCACAGTAAGTGCCTAATATCCAAAATAACAACAAAAAGCAAATGACCCATTAAAAAAATGGTCAGAGGACCTCAACGGACACTTGTTCCAAGAAGACATTCAAATGGCCAACAAACATATGAAAAGATGTTCATCATCGCTAGCTATTAGGAAAATGCAAATCAAAACCACAGTGAGATACTATCTCATACCTGATAGAACGGCTATCATCAACAGGACAAGTAAAATGCAAATCAAAACCACAATGAGATTCCACCTCGCACCTTTCAGAATAGCTATAATCAACAGGACAAGTAATAACAAATGTTGGAGAGAATGCAGAGAAAAAGGATCCCTCATACATTGCTAGTGAGACTGCAAATTGGTACAACCACTATGGAAAACAGTATGGAAGTTCCTCAAAAAACTAAGAATTGATCTACCATATGATCCAGCAATCTCTCTACTGGGTATTTAACCCAAAGACTTGAAAACTCATATCCGAAAATATGTTTGCACTCCGATATTCATAGCAGCATTATTCATGGTGGCCAGGACATGGAATCTACCGAAATGTCCTACGATAGATGATTGGATAAAGAAGCTGTAGTACATATATTCAATGGCATATTACTCAGCCATAAAAAGAGATGAAATACTGCCATTTGCAACAACATTGATGGATTTCGAGATAATCATGCTAAATGAAATAAGCCAGGCAGAAAAAGTTGAAAATCACATGATATCACTTATATGTGGGATATAAACCTAAAAGCAACAAATGAACAGGACAAACAGAGACTCATGGACATAGACAATAGACTAGTGGTTACCAGAGGGTAGGGTTAGGCGGGGAAAAGGAGGATAGAGGAGTAAATGGGTCAACTATATGTTGATGAAGAAAAATCTAACACAGTGCAATACATATATGCCTTACTGTTAAATTGTATACCTAAAACTTACTGGATTTCGTTAACCAATATCACCAAAAGACAAAATAATAATAATAAATAAATAATTTTTTAAAAAATCAGTCAATTTAACCATATTGCAAAAAAAAAATATGAAATACTGGGAGGAGAAAAACAAAGAAAAAATGAAACAGTCAAACAAGTACAAGTTCAAGACAAAAAAAAGAGAAAAGCATAATTATAAAATATATGTGGAGAAATAATTTCAGTATACATATAAATATATTTATATCAGTAATACGTTAGTATTATGAATATACTAAAAAAGCCTCTGTTTGACATATTTTATTATATTCTTTTGTAATATAGGTTTTGTGAAAGAGAACTTAATTTCTAAATTTCCACAATTTCCACTATTATTTTAGTCTAAAGTCTAAACCGAAAATTGAAAGAGAAAAAATAAAACCCTCCTAACAACTGTATTATACCAGCAACAACAACAAAAAGAACAAACTCTGCACCTTATATTATGTTGTTTTGGAACTGAAAGTCACTAGAACGTTCTTATGAGTTTTACAATCAATAATTGGATCCACAAAATATCTGACTCTGGGTGATGAACACACAATGCATGTACAAATGCTGTATTATTGAATTGTACACTTGAAATATATTATTTTTAACCAATGTCCCCCCAATAAGTATAATTTTAATAATATTTTATTTAGGTATGAGTTTTATAAAATTAAGGATAGTATAATTTAAAAGTCATATTAAAAATTCTTATCATTGACCAAATTTTATATCTCCTCCATTGTGGGAAAAACTTTCCCCAATATAATTTTTTTATCACTATGGTTTTTTTTAACCAATTGTTATCTTCAGCCCTCACTTTCAAAACTTAGTAAACACAGAATTAGTGATATTTTTATAAAATGGCTTGCTCTGACCAATTTTCTATTTTACTTATGACAAACATTGATAGGTAGAACACTACTAAATTTTAAGAGTAATTTACTATTATCTTCATGCAGGAGCATTTTACCTTGGTAGCAAAACCAAAGTCTTCGTTATCTGATTCAGGCCACGAATCATCAAGGCCAGGTTTTCTGAGAATTCTTTAGAGTAAAAATATACAACAGAAACAAGTAAATTAGTTCATTTCTTTAAAAGAGCAACAACAAAAAAGAATGAATAGTCAGCTACCTGTATATTAAAGATTCTTGATATAACTAATATTTAACCTCTGTTTTAAAACTCACATTTAGTTCTCTATTTCTGCCTCCACCTCTCCCCACCTACAGAACATTCTATAAACACACATTCTCAGTTTCTGTAACCAAAAATGACATCCAATTATTATCTAAGTCCTGAAGCCTAAATTGCGATAATGGTTGATATAATCTTTTTAACCTGAACTAGAACAAATCTGATGACCTAAATCAAGGTGAAATGACACACTGCTCCTTTTCCATTGTTTGTTCCTGATTCAAAACTGGCAGTCTTGGTTCTTTAGTATGGAAACCACTACATAAGGTGACCTCATTAATTCCTTTTGCCCTCAGACAATACAGAGAGTTCCCGGAAATGTTTGAAATGGTAGAAAGGTAAATGTAACAAAGTCAAAGAACAAATGTATATGCTGTTACCCTTCCCACTCCCAGGTCCCTCATCCACAGGGCTCCATGGCAGTCTCCAACCTACAAATTGGCAGCCAAAGAAGGCACAGATGCCTGAAACAAAGATGGGCTTGAATGACCCAGAGCAGGAGCTCTCTATTTCCCTGCTCCTGGAAAACAAACGAAATGGAGTCTCAGTCATCCACTCCCTACACAAGCATGTTTCCAGCTACCCAACTCCATTACTGATTTGACAGCCAGGCCCAGCCTGTCAAGAGAATCTTCTCCTGTATCTCAAATTATTTTAACATCTTTTGATGGAAACTTGAATTTTTCTAGTTCCTCCAATTCAAAAAACAAACAAACCAACAAACCAACAAACCAAAAAGCAGCGACCTGTTTAGGACTCCCTTGAACTCCTAATTTTAATCTGCCTTGAGAGGCCACTTGCTACATCCTGCGTCCATCCTTCTTATCATTTACCTTTAACTTGTTATAAATCCCAATATTCTGACCTCTTTTACCTAATCTGATCTCTGATGTCTTTTCTAAAGTCCTTATTCCTATCCTAACCCAGTGCTGTTGCTCTGGAAACTCGGTTTTCCTACTCATTCGTTCCTACTCTCTTCTATTGTGTTCAGTAGACCCACTGTCCCCATTTTTCTAATATTAAACAACTGACCTGCAGGATGAGAAAGAAGGAAGTATCCTGGGCTTAGAAACCTGAGGTTTTTAAATTTTATTTCCGTCACTTACTCTATCTAAATAAGTCGCTTTAATCTCTTTGAGTTTTGAATTTGCCATGTGAACAACCACTTGGCCAGGACATTACACACAGGTTGAAGTACTAGAGGGTGTTTTGATTAATTAATTGCTGAGATTCCTTAAATTTCTAAAATTTTATGTGCTTTTGAGTCTGTCTATAGAAAAATGAAGAATTCTTAGCTGGCAGAAGTGGAAAAAATAACGAAATGAAAGAAACAACAAGAGGAACAGAGAGGGTAAAAAATCAAAGCAGAACTGCCGGGACTCGAGGCCCTGTCCAACGAGAAGAGTCCCACGATGCAGCGGCAGATCTCCAAGGACACTGGCACAGCCACCTCAGCCAGGACACAGCTGACAGAAAAGAAGCGCACCTTGCAGCTCCTGGAGATGGCGCTGCGGTCCCTCCTGGCAGTGAAACACTCCCTGGAGCGTTCCTTGTTAGAGACCTAGGCAACGACTGTGCACGGCCGGCCCAGATCCAGGCTCAGATCTGGGCTCTGGAGGAGCAGCCGCACCAGGTCAGAACCGAGACCGAGGGCCAGAAACGGGACTACGAGCAGCTCCTGGACATCCAGATCCGCCTGGAAAAAGAAATGGAGACCTACTGTGCCTGTTAGATGAAGATGGAAACTCATGCTCTAAATCAAAGGGCTTTGGATCAGGAAGCTCAGCGAATTCATCCAAAGATGTAGCCAAAACTACACTGGTAAAGACGGTGGTTGAAGAGTGAGATTAATGTGGTAAATTCCCTTCATCGATGATTCACGCTACTGAAGGAAAAGCATCTATGACAAGGCAGAACAAAGTGTTTCTCTCTAGCTGTCATTTCTGAGAAAAGAATAATTTATTCTAAATATCGAAGAGATAATAAAAATACCTTCTACCCTTCAAGACGTTACTTAGCTGAAATAACTGTTTTCTTAGTTATCTTTTGCAAGAAGTTGGGTGTTTATTAACTTTTCAAAAAAAGTTAATGTGTACTCATTTCCATTCACTCATGGCTAATAATTACTTGCAATCGAAAAAGAAAACTCATAGAATAAGAAAATAAGATGCTAGAGGAAAAAGAGAAGAAACTTTACCGAAGTAGGCAGAGGTACTAGCCTAAGAAAAAAAACCAGACTGGGAAGATAGTAAGTAGAGAAGTCAATTACAAATAGCCTTTAAATAGTTGCTGACCTTAATTAACATAGCAGGGTCTATGCATAGATAGACCTCACTTACAGAGTACTAATTTGCCTCAAGAAGAATAGACATCATTATAGCTAAAAAAGATTTGCCTAATTAGGCCTTGCTGTTTAAAAACTAGGGTTCTGTGGCCATAGCTGACTGAGATCTGCCCTAAACAATTTGATGGTAAAACAAGGTACAAGTTACCACTGCAGCTGTCCAGTATACTAAGACAAATGCTTAGACTAACAGGGCTTTGTAGGAAAACTCTAAGTCAGCATCAACACATAACTAAATTGGACTCTCTGAACACATAATTAAATTGAAGACTTTCTGAGTCGATCCGACTAGAATCTGTATATTGATGCCAGTGCTGCACAGGAATTTATCAGTATAGACTAAGGGACATGATGATGGATTTGGGAACAAAGCAGGCTAAAGATCAAATCAGGGGCCAGCCACTTATTCACTATGGAGTCACAGGTCAGTGAATCAACAGCCCTGAACCACAGTCGTGTAATTGATAAAAAGCAAGCTAAAACAGCATAGCTACTTTGCCAAACCCATTGTGATGACACTATGCAGTAACAAATATCAAGCACAGATGTAGTGTTTATCCCACAGCAGAACACTTTACTCTGTATTCCCTTAGAAAACATATAATTTTTAAAACTCCATAAAATCCTACCTGCTTACAGAGTCTCCTTCAGAACTTTCATTCACTATTAAAGAAAAAAATTAAAATACATTTGTATTCAAAAATAGAAAAATACAGAACTATAAAAATATCAGACTGATGCTGTTTAAGAGGTATTCCTTTGAGAGCACACCTAAAGATGATACTTCAATAAATTTTAATGATGCTATTGACAAACAATTACTATATTAACTTTTATGTCCTCTCCTTTACACATATTAAATGCAAGAAAAACAGAATGGATTTTTGAAATTCAATACTTACAAGGGAACTGCTACTTACAATGATGATAATCCTAACCAAACTGAAGCAAACTGACAGAATATGGTATCATTAGTAGAATCAGTATCATAAAGTAACAGTGTCAACTTCAGTAGCATGATTTCTCTGGACTTCTGCCATGAAGAACATTTAGGGGAGAGTATACTTATTGTGCTGTAACACATTGCACTTTCTCTACCTCTTTAGTCAAGCCTGTTCAGTTTAGGATGAAAAGCCCTATTCAAGAAACGTGGTCTATACGTACTGCACTCTGCAGCATGGCAAAACATAGGAAAGAGACACTTTCTGGCCGAAGACTACTATCCTCAGATATCCCGTTTGAATGGCTCACCCATGATCGGTGCCTGGGAACCTGGTTGAGGGAGGGTTCCACCACTCCTTAACTGACAAGAGTGGCTCACTGGGCCTCGACTGTCTGTAGAAACAACGTGGTTCATGCTGAGCACCTGCTTTCCTTTAGAAAGTCTGGAATTTTGGTCAATGCTAGGGGGAGGATGCCTGTGTGACTAGTGTGCCATAAAACCTCAGGCAATGAGCCCAAAAAGACTCTAGTCCTGGTAGACAACGTCTCACTTTTGGTGTCAAGACTGGACATGGGTGGAATTAAGAGCATCCTGGGAACTCCATAGAGAGAGGACTCCTAAAAGCTTGAGCCTGGTTTCCTCCAGACTTTGTCCCATACACTTCTTCTCTTTCCGATTTACCCTGATTCTCACTGTAATAAATCAAAGCCATGAGTACAGCTATATGCTGAATCCTGTCAAGTTTTCTAGTAAATAACCAAACCTACGTGTGGTTTTAGAAACCTCAAATGAAATTAAATTATATAAAATTTTTATTATTTGGGTTATGAATTATACATGATTAGAGTCAGAAGGTTATTTCGCAGATTACCTGTACTTGAAGTTGATTTTCTAGATACTTGTTTTGGAGATTCCTGTAATTCTGTTTCTATTTAAATAAAGACATAAACAAGATAAATAAAACAAAGATGTCAGAGAATAATGTGAAACAAGCTACAATATTAATCAGCATTTACATATATAGTATAATAATATGCTACTGAAGGTATTATTCTTTTTGTTTCTAAAATTTTTTCAATTTCTTATAAAACTAAAAACACACCTCATCTATTGAAAGGCAGAAGTTAACTAAACAAGGCAACAAGACAAAAAAAAATTATATCCAAAATGTGAGATGAGTTATCCATGGATATCCCATCAAACTTAACAGATATATTGAAAAATGTCCTTGTCTTCCCTGTTGACCTGCTGCTCTTCTTGTTCATCTGACAAGTCCTTCTCATTCTTCATGTCCAAGTGAAATGCTACTCAATCACCTGGGTATCTATGAATCACCTTAGATTTCTCTCTCACTGCTAACTTTTTATATTCCATCATCTCTAAATTTTATTAATTGTACCTCTTTTCTGTCTCTGCTTCATTTTGCCAATGTCACTACCGTAGTCAAATACAAGCTCTTAACAGATGATTTTCACAGGAAAAAAAGAAAACACCAACTATTATTGCTATTTCTTAAATGAATATGATTATTTTCAGCAACACAAATGAGAAAGACATAACTCTAGAAAAAGACCAGCATTTTAAATGGAATAAACTGAGCTTCTTAACCTTTTTTTAATTTCAGCATGGATGGGTGACAACTTGATAACGTACCGATGCTAGTAGAAGGAAGCAAAAGCTCCCTTTGTTGGCCTATGTGTTTTCGTTCAATCTCTCCTTTCTGTGAGAGGACAGAAAACTGTCACCCACAGGTCACATCCAACCTGCTATCTGTAAATAAAGCCTCACTGGAACACAGTCATGCCTATTCACTCACATATTATCTGTGACTGCTTTCACATTCTAATGGCAGATTTGAGTAGAAATGACAGAGACCAGATGGCCTAAAATCTGGCCCTTCACAGAAAAAGCTTGCTAATCCCTGCTTTACATCACACCAGAGTGTCCAAATCAAATTTAATCTTCTCACACTTTTGCTCAAAACTCTCCAATGAATCCCTGCAGTAACTAGTGTTGGCCCCCTACCCACTGACCATTCAAGGAATGAGGGCAATAATATTATGTGAGACTTTGTTAGTAAAACAATATATAAAATAATCTATGCTTTTCAATGAGCTATTGCTTTTCTGACTTCTATATTATCATTAGATATCTTTTAAAAACAATCTCATTGGGATTGCTGTATACTGGCTAAGTTTTGTGGTTCTTATTGTTTGCCTTTTGTTTACAGTACTGGGAAGGTATTGTTGAGTTTCTAGTTTTAGATACATTTTTACTGAGATAAATCACTATGTAATAACAGATATTAATTTGCTACATGTGATGGATTTGGTGTAAAAATTCTACAAAAGACTCATTTTTATAACAAGTCCAATTTGTTTCCTGGTGATTAAAGAAGAAATATATAATACAGTAACTTAAAAAATCTTTTTACTTATTTACACAAAGATATATAGGATTCTAGTAGTCAAGACTAAATAAATGAATTTCTTTTCACATATTTGCATCTCTGATTTTAAATACATACAATTATCTTCTTTAATCATTCAGAAACTAGACTATTAAGAAATTAATTAAGAAAGAAAATAAACATGTAATTTCAGTATTGGTTTTTTTTCACCTCTCTTTCATTTGTAAAACTTCCTTCCTTTTACTTTATAGTAAAACCACCATGAGTAAGGAACTATCAAAAGTCTTACCTGGATTGCTATTCTGAGAAGACTCTTCACATCTCCTTTGTTCTTCATACTCAGAAATTAGTTTGCAATAGCTGTGTATAAAAAGGTGATCAATAACATTACTATCTTTACTGGAATGAAAAACATTTACCAAATAAATAAAATTTCTTAGAGTATCTCAGATGATATCAAAGGTAATAATAAAACTTTGATTATTCTATACACTTCAATTTTGTAAGTTCTACAAAATTTATTTAAGCATGTGATAAAAAAAAGGAAGGTCAATCAGTCATGAATTGAGAGCAGTAGATTTTAGTCAATTAATTACACATAGCTTGACATAATGGCGAGTGTCTTGAACTTCAAAATCCTAGCTCTAAGAGCAACAGCAATTTGTTCTGGAACAAGTCGCTTCTCTGTGGCTACAAGTCCTCTTCTATAAAACAAGGATCTTACTGCCTTATTTACAAGGTTGTTAGGAGAATTAAATGAGATAATACACCAAAAAGATGCCCAGGGTAATATTAATGCAATGGAATAAGATTTTCTTGAATTTTATTTGTTAAAACTGTTTTGGAATACCAATAAACTCCAATATGTGTTTTTCATAGGTGCTAACATTCAAATGTTACAGTGGTTGAAAATGTTATTAATTGTCTATGGCCATGCCACCCTGAACAAGCCTGATCTCATTTGATCTCAGAAGCTAAGCAGGGTCAGGCTTGATTAGTACTTGGGTGGGAGACTACCTAGGAAGACCAGGTGCTATAGGCATAAAAAATAAAAAAAATAAGGGATTGTAAGCTGACAAGGTCCTCGTAATCTGTGAGGTCAACCAAGGGTTGCTTCACCAAAAAAAAAAAAAAACAAACAAACATGTTATTAATTTTGATTATTAGTTGTCCTTCAATGTGGTTTGTAATTCAGGGCATCTCAGCTATTTTATAATATGTAACTAAATATATTTATAAATATATTATCTCATTAAGTCAGATGACATAAGTGTTCCCTGTGATTGCAGCTAACCACACTAAAGACAGAAACCTAATAGAGGTCAAGACCTGGCTTGTACTACTACTATGCTTTTACTGAATACTCAATTTCTGAAACATCAGATCTTTTTTAGAATGATGCTGACACTGTCCTTCCCTAACTGACTTAGAAGATATAATCCTGCATTTGTACATGGATATTGATGAGTTATGCATGAGGCTTAGCTACTCTGATGCCAAACAACCTACTTTAGATTCAGAGCTTTCTGTTGCATGGCTTCCATGGGAGGCACAATTATAAATATTTTATAACCTGAGGTAGATTCAAGATATTTGGTAGATTTTCAACTTATTTATTTTTTTATGGTGATATTGGTTAACGAAATCCAATAAGTTTCAGCTGTACACTTTAACAATAAGCATATATATATTTACACTGTGTCTACCACCCATAGTTAAATTTCTTTCTGTCACCATATATTTGAGTTTTATCCTGTCTACCTCCCCCTTCCTCTTACCCCCTACCCTCTGGTAACCACTAGTCTATTGTCCATGTCCATGAATCTGCTTGTTTCTCCTGTTCATTTGTTACTTTTAGGTTTATATCCCACATATAAATGATATTATGTGGTTTTCAACTTTTTCTGTCTGGCTTATTTCGCTTAGCAATATTATCTCGAGGTCCGTCCATGTTGTCGCAAAAGGCAATATTTCATCTCTTCTTATGGCCGAGTAATATTCCATTGTATATATGTACCACAATTTCTTTAGCCAATCATCTATCATAGGACACTTCGGTTGCTTCTGTGTCCTGGCCACTGTGAATAATGCTGCTATGATCATCAGTGTGCAAATATCTTTTCATATATGGGTTTTCAAGTCTTTGGGTTAAATACCCAGTAGAGGGATTGCTGGATTTTATGGTAGATCAATTCTTAGTCTTTTGAGAAACATCTATACTGTTTTCCATAGTGGCTATACCAATTTGCAGTCCCACCAGCAGTGTATGAGGGTTCCTTTTCCTCCACATCCTATCCAACAGTTGTTATTACTTGTCCTGTTGATCATAGCTATTCTAACAGGTATGAGGTGGTATCTCATTGTGGTTTTGATTTGCATTTCCCTAATAGCTAGTGATGTTGAACATCTTTTCAAATATTTGTTGGCCATTTGTAGATCCTCTAGAGAGAAGTGTCTGTTCAGGCTCTCTGACCATTTTTTGATTGTATCATTTGTTTTTTTTAATTGTTCTTGAGTTGTATGAGTTCTTTGTATATTTTGGATATTAAGCCCTTATCTGAGGCGTTGCTTGCAAATATATTTTCCCATTGGGATGGTTGTCTCTTTACCCTGTTGACAATTTTTTTTTTTTGCTGAGCAGAAGCTTTTTAGTTTGATGTAGAACCATTAATTTATTTTAGCTTTTCCTTCCCTTGCCTTTGAGGTCAAATTCATAAAATTCTCTTTAAGTCAAAGGTCCATGAGTTTAGTATCAATATTTTCCTCTATGGATTTTATTGTTTCAGGTATTATATTGAGGTTCTCAATCCATTTTGAGTCAATTTTGGTGTGTGGTGATAGACAACAATCTATTTTCATTCTTTCCAGTTTTCCCAGCACCATTTATTGAAAAGGCTTTCCTTTCTACACTGTATGTTTTTGGCTTTTTGTCAAAAATTAGTTGCCTATAAAAATATGGGTTTACTTGTGGACTCTGGATTCTGTTTCACTGGTCCACGTGTCTATTTTTCTGCCATACCATGCTTTTTATATTATTGTTGCTTTGTAGTATAATTTGAAGTTAGGCAGATTAATGCCTCCAGCCTCGTTCTTTTTTCTCAGGATGGCTTTGACAATTCCGGGTCTTTTGTGCTTCCATACAAATCTGATGATTTTTTTCTTCTATTTCTTTAAAAAGTGCCACTGGGATTTTGATGGGGACTGCATTAAATCTGTATAATGCTTTAGGTAATATAGTCATTTCAACTTTCCATTTCTTTGTATCTTCTTCAATTTCTTTTAATAGGGTCTTATAGTTTTTATTATATAGGTCCTTCTCATGTATCATTAAGATTTATTCCTAGGTATTCTTTTTGTTCCAATTGCAAAAGGAACTATTTTTTCCATTTCTTTTTCTGACACTTCATTATTAGAGTATAGGAACACTATGGATTTTTGAACATTGATTTTGTGTCCAGAAACTTTACTGTATTTGCTTATTGTTACTACTATTGTTCTTGTGGAGCCTTTAGGGTTTTCCATATAGAGAATCATGTCATCCACAAATAGTGACAGTTTGATTTCTTTGTTTCTTGTTTGGATGCCTTTTATATCTTTCTCTTGCCTGATTGCACTTGCTAGGTCCTCCAATGTTATATTGAACAACAATGGTGATAGTGGACAGCCTTGCCTTTTTCCTGATCTTAGAGGGAAGGTTTTTAGTTTTTCACCATTAAGTATAATGTTGGCTGAAAGTTTGTCATATATGGCCTTTATTATGTTAAGGTACTTTCCTTCTATACTGATTTTGTTAAGTGTTTTGATCATAAATGGATGCTGTATCTTATCAAAGGCTTTTTCTTCATCTATGATATAATCATACAGTTCTTATTTTTGGTATATTTTCATAGACCGTTTGAGGGGCCAACTTTAATTATGAAATCTCAAGCATGTTGGTGTCTACTCCGGGAAAGGTGCTATGAGACTTTTCATCACTTAAGAAAAGATGCTCTACAGGATATCAAGTGGCCTCGGGGTGCCGATCTGGTAACTAAGGAGCCTGATCTTTTCCTGCAGCATCATTTGAACCTTTCTGACAACTTAAAATGGTTTCAACCAGCATATGCTAGCAGAAAACTCAAACAAGATGCTCAAAGGGTAACTTACCCTGAAGACCTGGGCTAAGAGGTGGACTCCACCCAGGTTTTTGAGTGTGGGGCGAAGGAGGTCCAGCTGCCAGATGCTGATACTTTGGAATAGTGGTTGAGCAAAAACGCATATGTGTATAACCTAAAAATAGTTGTAACTTGGAAGTCCAGGTGTGGATCACCATGAAGACTGAGGAATCTGGATCAGCAAAGGCAACCTGGGATCAAAGGTCAATCATGACCCCAGGACCAGATTCAATCAGCCACTGTGCAGCAATAGAATCAACGTAAACCATAGACTAGTATGTCCTCCTTTACCCCTCCATCTGACAAAGGAGAGAAGATTGTCTCCCTTGGACTTAGGAAACCCTTTAGCTTCTTGAATAATTCAAGGGGGAGAGTATAAAAGATAGGTCCCAGAAAATACAGAAGTTTCTGCTAAACTGACGTTTCAAGACCCAAAGTAGAGAGTTGGAAAAATCAGAGAAGAGACATTATTTGTTTTCCATGCATAGGGTTTGTACTTGGAATGAAATAGGTCATGCTGGGATCCCTAAAGACAAAGTTCTTATAAGTTTTAGAATAAGGAAACTGTGCCCATTGCTACTTCTAATTTGTCCAGCCTTTTGCTTGGTCTCTGTTTGAGGATGGTCACTAAGTCACCGTCATTCCCCAACTGCCTGAGCTGAAATGTGACATCTCACCTGTTATGTAAGAAGTAACAGTTAAATTATTGCAAATATCAGTTTTTTTGATAACTGGCATTTTTAATGTAAATACTTACAAATTAAAACCTCTCTTTAAAGCATGTTCTTTCGCAGTCCATCCATTGTTATCTTTAGCGAAGACATCAACGCCTTGCTGAAGAAGAAGCCTGACTATATCTGAGGATGGATCATTTACAGCAAGTATGAGGGCTGTTCTAAAGTAACAGAAAGATAACTTCACCCTTAGGAACATCAATTAAATTATTTAAACAGCCAATTTTATATACTTTACCAAGTTCATATCATCCTTGTCTGTGTAAAATTGACCATTTACATGGTTACGTGTTTAAATGTTCATCTTTGTAAATTAACTCCAAGGCTAAAAGGAAGGGACAAAAAGGAAGCTACTGGCCCCTCTTGGGGTTTACATAGAAGTTGTAAATTTAAAGTCCTTTAATAAACAAGAAACTATGCTGAAGAACCTTATCTGAAGTAGGTGAAGATTTAAATGAAGAACTTCCTGTTTCATCCTTAGTCTGATATATTGTACCTCAAAGTCAGCTAGAAGTCAGGTGACTAAAAGGTGTTTTGCAGGCTTAACGCAATAATATTAATAATTATAATAATAATAGTCATAGACTTAATGATGCTGATAAGCATGTGTTGGGCACTAAATTAAATGCTGGATAATCTTACGCAGAACTATGCTTGCGGGATATGTTCTTGTCCTCCTTTTCATATCAGGATACATATTTGGTGATGATAAGTAATGTTCCCAAGGTCACGCACCTGGCATGTAGGAAAGGACCCAATCTAGTGTGAATTAAAAGCCCATCTCTTTTTTTTATTTATCACTCACTGATAACTTGTTTTTATTATAGGGAAAGTCCATTCATTAAAGTTATCTTTCTTCCTTCTACTGTACCAATTAAAATTGAAAACATCAAACTATACCAGAAATGAAACAGAATAGAAACTGATGATCCCATAGTATCTGGTAGTAATTCATAGTCAATTAGGGATAAACTAATAACATCAGTATTCTTCAAAGAAAACAATAAAGCAAAGAGCCATCCAAAAGACAAAACCAACACCTATTTATGTTTAATATGCATCTTTTTAAGGAAAAAGTAAACAAAATAGAAGTTTAACAATACCATAAAAGAGACTAAGTTTAATATTGTATCATAAGTAAAAGTTAGAGTCCATACAATGTAAAACTAATAAAACTAATACAAAACCCTTTGACTAATATAAGATCATATGATAAAAATTCAAATTACAAAAGGCATCTATCAGTATTATAAATAAATTTGAATGTGAATACTGCAGTGTACTGTTCTCTCAGTTGCCCAGTCAGAATAATTGCTTTTCCACTTCCATATTGTAGTATACAGTAAAAGTTAAGAGTCCATACAATATAAAACTAATAAAACTCTTTTGAAATCCTTTGAGCTAATATACAATCAAAAGACCAGAAATATTAGGTTACAAATGACATGAGCCAACATTATAAATAAATATGAATATGAATACTGCAGTATCTTGTTCTTCCTGTTGGCCGGTCAGAATGACTTTGCCACCTAATGAATGACGTCCTAATATCTTTCACTACATAAGAATAAGTTAATCCTCTTCTCATTAATTTTATCTTCCTGACCTGAGTGATTGTTACCACTCTAGAACAATATTAAGGTTAAAAAAAAAGAATGCACAACTGTACCTTTTCATCTTATCGACTGCATGTACATTTGCATTTTTCTTTACTAAAAATTCCACCATTTGCTGTTTGTTTTCAGTGATAGCAAGTAAAAGTGGTGTGAGTTCATCCTGTAAAAGAGTGAAAACCATTTATAACTTATGAGATTACATATTTTGAAACAGAGTTTTAAAACTTATAAAATATAATGTGAACTTAAGCATGTGATATACAAGGTAAAAAAATATCCCTCTGGGCTTTCACCTGCTGCTCCTCTTTAAAATACCCTCCTCTACCCTTCAACAGATTTGCTGCAGCATTGTTCTCCAAAACTCACTCCAAGCATTGATAGTATTGGTTCCAAGAATCCTGGCTCCTATCACAGTATCTCATAGTATTCAGTAGTTATTGTATTGCTGCTCTCCATCTAAACCGAGAGCTTCTTGAGGGCAGAGGTTATTATTATTTTTTAATCTCTAGAGCTCCAAGCAATAAATCATAACAGTAAACATTTTAAGTACTTTTACTGAATTAATAACCTAAATAGTGTTTCTCTAAAAAGCGTAGTGTTTCTCAAATCTTAGTCCAAAGAATATCTACCAGAAGCACTGTGCACCAAGAGAAAGATTACAGAAAGATTTATTTTGTTTATGTTTTAAGGTAAAGCCTATATTCAAGGAAAATTTTAGCTTTCCTGCATTATTTACATTAATTAGGAGAAAAAACTAGGATGGAAAAATATATTTAAAAAAAAAAATTGCCTTTGACAAATGTTTTCACAAACATTTGCCGTAAGTGCATAAAAGAGAGCTGTACCCTCCACTACTTCTTTAGAAGTATTCTTATGTAAACCGAAATCTTAGACAATTAAGTTCTTTCAAAATGTTGTCATTCAGAGATTGCTTGAGCTTCCCAATATGTAAAACTGACCTGTGTCAATCGAGGACTTTCTTGTCAGGGTTGCAGTGACTAGAGGTAAAAGCAAAAAGCAGAAGCAAAAAGCAAAAAGCAAAAAGCAGAAGCAAAAAGCAGGTGACTGTTTTGCCATCACACACTGCCTGTACAACTGCAACCCCACCAATAAACTCTGGGAGGCTGAGCAGGAGCAGCACTGTGAGGTAGAAGACTTCAAGGTGCCAAATGGCTGGCAAAGAGGCCATGAGCACAAATGAATGCCCTTGCTGGAGGTCCAGACTTGACCTGTCTCTCTTGCCCTAATCTTCAGAACCTTGGGGGATTGTTCAGGGCATGTGGCCTGCTGCTTCCCCTTCCCACTGGCACTCACACAGCTCCCCCTGCCCAGAGGAACCCACTTCCTAGGCCCCTGCCTGCGCAGCAGCCATCCTCCACCATCGCTTCACTCCCCCCAGGCCCTCAGTCCTTTGTGGGCTCTGAGCCTATCACCCGCTCCCAGGTACTAGCAGGAAGTTCTTTCTTCTGGGGCGGAAGGGTGGTAGCCAGGAGACTGAGCTTTGCTCATTCCGTGGATACCACGTCTCTCCATCCCTCTCCGACTTGGCTTTGGAGTTCTTTTTATGGTGACAGGGCCTGATGTATATAATATGCAGTATATATATTAGAAATATAATGCTTGTGGCTAAAAAAATAAACAAAAAAGCATATGTTTCCAATATTTTGTAAATAAATTTAGTTGATCTATACCTTGTTCCTTGCTTCAATATTGGCCTTGTATGAAAGCAGCTTTGCTGCCATGTCCATATTCTGGCCAGCGACAGCATAGTGCAGAGCCGTGTTGCCATAGATGTCCATTATATTTGGATCAGCACCATGTTCCAGCAGAATAGTTGCACATCCCTCCTCTTGGCATTGTACGGCCTGTCGGTATTGTCCCCAGAAACAGATGGGAAGTGTTAGGAATTCAAAGTGAACCTTACACTAGTTTTATGACGTCGTTCTATTTAAATGAGATAAATTCATTCTAAATATCCATAATTAAATCAAATCCATCTCACATTTTAGTGTTGGCTACTATGTATGTACCTTAATCAGAGCTGTCTTGTTTTCATTGTCACAGAGGTTAAGCCGGCATTTACTGTCTGCTAGAAGAGCTACCACTTTCGGATGGCCATTGGCACAGGCCAAATGTAGAGCAGTCCTATGAAAGTGAGAGGATGTTTTAGGAAACTGGAGGGCACTATCTCAAAACATATAATTATTCATATAATTGTAATTATTAAATGCTATTCCTATGCCTTCAAAACAAGAATT